GTCCTTTTTGGGTATAATCACTTTGTATAAGTTTTTTAGTAGTTTAAATATCTCACTGTAAACGAACAGTTCTCTCCCACCTGCCAGTTCCCAAATAACCACTCAGAGGCTTAATATTACTTATAAATTCTCAGTGGCCAGTAGCTCAGGCTTATTACAAACTAGCTCTTACATTTTAAGTTAACCCATAGTCCTTATTTATGCTCTGCCATGTGGAGGTACCTTTATTAGCATGGTACGTTCATCTTTTGCTCCCTCTGCGTCTGGCTGGTAACTACTGACTCTGCCCTTCTCCTTCCCATCATCCTTAGTTTGGTCACCCTGCCTATACTTCCTGCCTGGATACTGGCCAATCAGCGTTTTATTAAACCAATTTGAATGACAAATCTTTACACACACACACACACACACACACACACACACACACACACACACACACGTGTGTGTGTGTATAAAGCCACTGCCCCGCTTTATAGGGGAGGGCTGGGGATCTGAACTCAGAACCTCATGCCCGCAAGGCAGGGACTTTAACAACTGAGGCATCTTCCCAGCCCCCACGTTTCCTTCTTTGACCATTTTCTTTCCACTTAAGAACTTCCTCTAGCCATTCCTTCAGGATAGATCGTCATCTGCCTTTCCTTCATCTTGACAGTGCCCTCATTTGCTCCACCTCTCTCCCCTCCCTCCCTCCCTTTCATTGATGAACCCACACTGATACCCCATCACCCAAAGTCTGTCATTTACTGTAGGGCTCATTCTTGATGCAGTACATTCTATGGATTTTGGCAAATGTCTACTTGCATGCATCTGCCATTATAGCTCCATATAGAGCATTTTCACTACCCAAAGGATCCTGTGCTCTGCCTAGTCCTCTCCCTGCCTCCTATCTCTAGGAAACCAATGATGTGTTTCCTATTTGCAGTTTTGCCTTTCCCAGAATGTCACATGGCTAGAAGCTGATGGCTCACAGCCTTCCCATATTTACTCCTTTCACTTTATAGTGAGCACTTAAGTTGCGTCTATACTTCCCGTGGCTTTAATAGCTGACTTCCTTTTAGTGCTGAATAGTGCTCCATGATCTACACATACCACATAGCTTCCCAGTTAAAGAATATCTTAATTACTTCTAAGTTTTGGTGATGTGAATGAAGCTATTATGAAGATTTGCTCTAGGTTTTGTGTGGTCACAGTTTTCACTCCCTCTGGATAAACAGAAAGGAATGTATGGTAACAGTATGTTAGTTTTGTAAGAATTATATTCCAAAGTGGCTCTATTTTCTTCATTTCTTGTGGTAATTTGAATGAGAATGGTGCCCATAGGCTCATTGTTTGAGTGCTTGGTCCCTAGTTGGTGGATTGATGAGAGAGGATCAGGAGGCGTGGCCTTGGTGAGGGCGTGGCCTTGGTGAGGGCGTGGCCTTGGTGAGGCGAGGCCTTGGTGGAGGCAGTGTGCCATTGGTGTGGACTTTGGAGGTTTCAAAAGCCCATGACAGCCCCAGTCTTATCCTCAAACTGTAAGCAAGGCCCGGACTAAATGCTGTCTTCTATAAGCTTCCCTGGTCATGGGGTCTCCTCACAGCAACACAGCAGTGACTAAGACATTTCTGAAAGAGATTGTTGCTGGATGTTCTGCACTAATAGTCCTTGACTGTCAAAAGAAAGCCGCTTCCTACTGATCTCTACGGTTTCCTTCCTTCCTTCCTTCCTTCCTTCCTTCCTTCCTTCCTTCCTTCCTTCCTTCCTTCCCCCTTCCCCCTCCTTTTCTTCCTATCTTCCCTCCGCCCATCCTTCCCTCCCTCCCTCCCTCCTCCCTCCCTTTCTTCCTATCTTCCCTCCGCCCATCCTTCCCTCCCTTCCTACTTTCCTTCTGATGTTGACGATGGAGCCCAGAACCTCACACAAGCCAGGCCGGAGCTTCACCGCTAAGCTGCATTTCAGCACTTTACCTATCCCGGTGTGAGAGATCGATCCAGCCGCCATGGAGTCACATCCTCAGCACCTCTGAAACATTTTTCTGCGTTTTTCAGCTGCTTTAAAGTCTTTGCTGGATAATCCTAACATTTTTTACCATTTCTCTGTTGACATCTACTGACTGTCTTTTTAAATTCAGTTTGAGCTCTTCCTGGTTCTTAGTATGAAGAGTGATTTTCAGTTAAAACTCAGACATTTTGGGTATTAGATGAATCTCGATCTTTTCCCTTTAGCTGAGCGCCTCTAACACAGCTGCACAGTTAAGGAGGTAGCATCATCATCCCGTAACTGCAAAGTGGGGGAGACATCAATTTCCCATCTGCCCCTCTAATGACCGCTGCGAGAGAGTAGTTCGAGCCCTACTAGGCCCCCAACACATCATCCTGGCCACAAAGGCTGTTAGCCAAGCCTCCCCTGGTATCTCCCCGATGCAGAGAGGGAAGAAGGGGTGCCATACTGCTGCTGGGCCCCCACATTGGGGAGATGAGCACCCAGACTTCCCTGTTTTCTGCTCTGCCTGCCTGCATGACCGCTTTGTTGGCTGGGGTAGGGAGCGGGCTACAGCGGTTCCTGTGGTATTTGCTGGAGCGGAGCTATTATTGTCCAAAAGGTGTCTCCTTAGGTTATCCATTTCCTAATCCTTCAACTAGAGAGACGAGAGAAGAAGAGGCAGCAGTTGGTTTGTTTGTTTATTCTGCACATTGCTGGCTTCTTCGGCTTTGAGCCTGGGATGCGGGCGTAAGACAAAAAGAAAACTCACCAGCGAGTTGTTGCTCAGGTCCTGCAGTCTCTGGCTGATCTGCCTTCACATCACATTTCAGTCTTTTGTTTGCTTTATCTGGAATGTGCACCAGCGTTAGTAGTGGTTCATGGAGAAATTGATGCCTATCTTCTCGGGAGGGAAAGACTCCTTTTGATCATTCTGATGCTAAACGTTCTGTGGAGACTTCCAGATACAGTGGAGAATTCTGGATACCATGTGTAGGCTCTGCAGAGTGACCAGGGATAAACCAATCACAGCTCCTGAATGTCAGGTCCACAACACTGTAAGATAGACAGCCATTTCTCATGCAGCCTAACTCCAGGGAAAGTTAGGCTTGGAATCAGTCAGGAAAGAGTCCCAATTCTAGCTCTGCCTCTTCCAAGTTCTGTGACCTTGGACAACTTAGTTAACCTCTTTGGATCAGTCTCAGTTTTAACATGGGGAGGGGGGCAGTAACCTCCAACCTCCTAGGTTGCTGGGAGCTTTGATGAAATCGTGTGTGTAAATTACTTTGCATGGTGTCAGCACATAGCAAGTGCTTAGTAAATATTAGTTGTTGTTGTTCTTACAAGGCAGCCTGTGCCAAGTGCAATAATTCTCCCTTAGCCTTGTCCTTTCTAGACAGAGGCAGCCTCTTGCTCTTGTGCATGCTCCCCTCCCTTCTCTGCTATCGGCTATGGAAACCTTTTTAACCTGCAGTCTCCTTGAAAGGGTTGAGATGCATGGATGCACAGGACGGGGGTGACAGAATGTTCTGTGTGTTTTCATTCCTGCACCTACCCATGCATCCCTCCATCAAACCCTGGTTGAACACTAACCCTGCCCACCCTGTCCACGCATCCCTCCAGCAAACCCTGTCCACGCATCCCTCCAGCAAACCCCTGTTGAACACTAACCCTGTGTTTGGCACGTTGGGTCACATTGACAGTGTGGCGTGGGAAAAGCATCCAAGCAGTGGGCAGAAACTCAGTGCTAAGGAAGCAACCCAAACATTCCCAGGTTCACAAGAGGAAAAAATTGCATTTGGTTTGCAGAGCCAGCAGAGGGTTGATGGAGGAGAGAGCATCAGAGTCTGACTTCAATCAGTAGGAAGTGAAGAAACAGAGACAGAAAGGCGTCCCTTGCCCCCAGAAAACAGAAAACGGGTTGGGGAGACGTCCCACTTGGTGGAGTGGTTGCTGTGCATGAGGCCCTTGGTTTGACCCCAGTACCCACGTAAAAAGCGGGGCATGGTGCCTCGTACAATGCTTCTAACCCGTGCTGAGAGGCAGAGATGAGCAAACCCCGGTGAGAAACCTTGTCTCAAGAAGCCAGGTGGATAGGGCTTCAGGGATGGCTCAGCAGATAAGAGCAATGGCTGTGGGATGGTCTGTATGTTAAATGTGTTGCTCTGATTGGTCAATAAATAAAACACTGATTGGCCAGTGGCCAGGCAGGAAGTAGGTGGGACAAGGAGAGAGGAGAATTCTGGGAAGCGGAAGGCTGAGGCGGAGAGACACTGCAGCCACCGCCAGGACAAGCAGCATGTAAAGACGCCGGTAAGCCACCAGCCATGTAGCAAGGTATAGATTTATAGAAATGGATTAATTTAAGCTATAAGAACAGTTAGCAAGAAGCCTGCCATGGCCATACAGTTTGTAAGCAATATAAGTCTCTGTGTTTACTTGGTTGGTTCTGAGCGGCTGTGGGACTGGCGGGTGACAAAGATTTGTCCTGACTGTGGGCAAGGCAGGAAAACTCTAGCTACAAGCAATGGCTGTGTTTGCAAGGATCCAGGTTTTGCTCTCAGCACCCTTGTGGCAGCTCAGAACCATTTATAATTTCTGTTCCAGGAAATCTGGCACCCCCTTCTGGCCTCTAAGGGCACCAAGCATGCACTTGGTACACATACATTCATGCAGACAAAACACTCAAATCATACACATAAAATAAAAATAAATAAAATTTAAAAACAAGGTAGGGCTGGAAAGACGGCTCAGCTGGTAAAAGCCCTTGCTGCACAAACCTGACGATCCGAGTTCAGCCCTTGAGACCCACCGTACAAGAAGGAAACCAACTCCTGAAAGCTGTCCTTGACCTTATGTGTGCACATGCGCACACACACACATGCACACGCACACACACACTAATATAAATAAAATGAAATAAAATAAAAATGAAGTGTATGGTGCCTGAGGTTGTCCTCTGGCCTCCACATACCTGTTCACACATGTGCACATGAACTGGCACACACATGTGCACCCTCCCCCAACCACAAAATAAAGAAACAGCACAGCCTGGTAAGAACATGGCATCTTTGCAGGGGGCTCAAATAAGAGGAAATCAGAAAGCATGCTGAGGACACCATATATAGAGCTATAAACAGATGTATCAGCCAGAATAAAGAGGACTATGTGCAGCCATATCACACTCGCTTAAACATAAAAGGTTTATTTTTCTGTAAGGTAAAATCATTTTAGAGCCTGGCAATCCGGGACTTATACGATGACCCTGCTGTCACCAAGATCACAGTCTCTGTACAGCCTCAGCAAGTGTCTGCATCTTGAAGGTCACCTCATAGTCCAACGCCTCTCAGACATGGGGGAAACTAAGGGAAGGCAGGCAGCTCACCTAGTTCCACCTTCCTGTGGAACCTTCTACTTGCTCACAATTCAATCCCACTGTGGCTTATCTTCAAGGTATACTGGGAAATAGAGTTTCAAAATCCTGGCTCACTTTGTGGATATGAGTTCTATCGCCAAAGACCCAATAGTGAATGGATCCTGGGTGGACAGACGAAAGTTCATGCAATATCAGAGTGAGGAGTACAGACTCTATCCAGCAGGAATTGAGAGCCTTGTGGTAGATTCTTAGACAGAAGACAGACTCCATCTTCACTGTGCAGAAAACTGGATGGATTGCCTTTCTTCCCTTTAAGTCTGGGATGCTGGAGCTCCAGTCAGCATCTTGGACTACGAAGCAGCTGTAAAGATGGGAAACTGTAGCACAAATTGCAGAAGGAATAGACTAGAACCTGAGAAGTCAGTTAGAATGTGGTTAAGAAGAGATGCAGCCAGGGCAAGAGAAAGTGAGGAGCAGAGGAGGAGCAGAGCACGGGGCAGATGCATTTCAGGACTGTATTACCTGGGTGGCCACTGACAGCTGGCCAGTGGTGGTGTAACTGGATGGTGAAGATATTTCTAGGACAGGAGAGGTCAGAGGACCACCATCTGGAGCCAGGCATCTTGACTTGGAACAAAAGGTTCTACGAATGGAAACAGAGAACCAAGGGCTCACCAAGTGTGCTCCCCAGACAAAAGAACTGGCCTCCAGGGAGACAGTGGGAAATGCAAAGCCTTATCCCACAGATAGGCTGAACTGAATAAAAAGCTGCAACAGAGACCCAGAAAACATATACTATGTGTCTATGCATTAGCCTTGAACAATTGGAAGTAGAGAGCTTAAATATTACCACTTAGAACAGCATAAAATTAGTAATGTTAAATATTAGAGATTAATCAGAGCTAAAGTATGTATACTTTAAAGACCTGAACTCCCAACCCCACCAACCTGGAATATAGCTCAATGCTCTCATACTTGTCTAGCATGGACTAGTCCCTGGGTTTAATTTTAAGCTGGGGGGCGGGGTGGTGACACAGCCAAGGCTGAGGAGATAGCTCAATTGGTCCACACTTGTGCAGCAAGTGTGTGCCACCACTGTCTGGCTGTTTCTCTCCTAGATTCTCTCATGTAGTCCAGGGTGGCTTTGAACTCACAGAGATCCAGATGGATCTCTGCCTCCCAAGTGCTAGGATTAAAAGTGTGTGCCACCACTGCCTGACCTGTGTGTCTGGCTCTGTCCTCTGATCTTCAGGCAAGCTTTATTTCATACACAATACATCACCACAGATCCTAAAACACATATGGGAATGATGAAGTCCTCAGATAGCCAAAGACAACTTTGGGAAGGAACAAAGGCTTTCACTACCTGATTTCAAACCATATATCCGATATCAGTATAAAGACAAGTAAACCAATGGAAACAGAACAGTCTTGAGACAGAAATGGCACAAGTTGTCAATTGATTCTTGACAAAAGTCGGGGTCATCCAGTGGGAGAAGGAGAATCTTTTCAACCAATGACACGGGGACAGCTGGTGGCCACTTGCAACGACAAGACACATCAGTTGTACGCCGGAGGTGTGCCTCAGACACAGGCACAGTGCTATCTAGCACACGTGAAGCTCTGGTTTGCCCCCAATGCTGCACTCCGGTGATGTGGTAGCACACGCCTAGAACCTCAGATCTCAGAAAAGGGCATTGGGAGGTCGGAAGTTCAAAGGCACCTCCCCATAGCAGTTTGGGACCAGACCGAGATACATGAGACCCTATCTAAAAAACAAATCAACAACGACAACAAAGCTTTCCCTAAGAAGACAAGAGAAAAACCTTAGTGCTCAAGTTTGGTAAAGATTTCCTAATTAAGACCAAAAATATAAACTATTTTAAAAAAATCAATGAATTGAATTTAATCAGATTAAAAAGGGTTGTTCTTTAAAAGATACTGCTTTTTAAAAAGGAAAGCTGGGTACGGTGGTGCACACCTAAAATCTCAGCACTCGGGGGTGGAAGCGGGAGGGTCAAGAGTTGGGGGTCAGCCTACACTACACAGACAGGCCCCGTCACAAACAAACAGAAACAAAATAAAACTGAAAAGCTGAGCCACATAAAGGAAAAATTATTCGCAAAATACACACCCAGCAAAACACGTGTTGATATAAGAACACAGTAAGGGGCTGGGCAGATCGTTCCCTGAATAAATTTCCTGCTGCGCAAGCGTGGGGGCTGGGGTTCAGATCTCCATAACCACATAAAAATCTGGGTGCAGGATGGTACATCCAACCCTGGGGGCAGGGGCAGGCAGTGGATACCTGCAACTCGTTGGCCAGCCAGTCCTGACTGAATCAATAAGCTCCTGGCTTGGTGAAAAGCTCTGTCTTAAAAAATAAGGTGGAAAAGAATCTAAGAAGACTCACCTGGGGCATGTGGGTACACGTGTGCACAACTGTGTAAACACATATGCACACACCCACATAAACATACATATGACACACACACACACACACACACACACACACACACACACACATCTATGCCTTGAAGAGAGAACACAGTAAAATAGTGAGACGACTTGCTTTATTACTGCTTTGAAGCAGGGTTTCATGTATCCGAGGCTGGCCTCCGCCTCTCTATGTAGCTAAAGAAAAGACTATGAATGGGAGCGGGGAGAGCTGAGTGGGGTGAGAATACTCTTCATCTTGCCTGTGGTGTTGGTCTCATGGGTGTGTTCACACCTCACAACACCCACCTGCTAACTGTAAACTCACGTGGTCTGTCGCAAGCCAGTTCTTCACGCTGTGCTGGGAATCAAACCTAGGACTTTGGGCCTCCAAGGCCAGCACACGCCTCCAGGCTAACAGTCTGCTTTTCAAATGCACAAGATTTGAATACTTAACTCCAAAAGACACTTACCTAGGAAGACAAGCAGATAGCACACATACCTGAAAATGTCAGCATGATTAGTTACAGACGGGAGTACTCTGCTTCTACCCACCCCACTTTCCCCTGCAATGGATGCAATATACTACAACTTAAAATATCGTAAAAATTGTACTTGTGATTATTGTTGTTGTTGTGTGTATCATGTGTCTGTGTGTGTACAGGTGCAAGCATCCATGGTGAGAGTGTGGAGGTCAGGGGACAACTTTCAGGAGTCAGTACTGTGTGGGACCAGGTTTGTGTGACAAGCATCCACCTCCTCCACCCCCCCAGCCAATCTCTCCTACATAGAGATTTAACCTTTCTGTTGTGATGGAGGATTTGTGTGGTTTGTGATCGGGTTTCTTTCATGCAGCCTGGGTGAGGCTGGAGCTAGCTAAAGCCAGAATGACTTTAAACTCGTGATTCTCCTTTCAGGATGACAGGCCTATGTGCCAGCTCCTGGCCTGGGAATCAAACTAGATGCTTTGGAGTGCGAGGCCAGCACCCGGCCCACTGAGACAGAACCCAGCTATAACTGAACCAATAGATACAAAGAACACGCACTGAAAAATCACCCCGATGTGCTTCGACCGGCCCACGGCAAAGTCTGAAATGGAAGGCCAGCCATCCAGGTGCTGCCAAGAGTGACAACAGTGAGATTTTACATACAGCTGTTGAGTGTGTAAAAGGTACAACCAATCTGGACACATGCCACTCGGGTGTGACGTGCACCTACTACCTGACGAAGGCGGTCCATCTTCAGAAGAAAGAAAAGCACGTTCACTCAGCAGCCTTGTGGGTTAACAGCTAAGGTGGCAGGCAGCCTAAGTCAACAGGTGAACAGAGAGACAAAGATTCACACGATGGGACCACTCTTCAGTAATAAAAGGAGAGGGCCATTGTCAGGTGTGATGTTGTCAGGTGTGATGTTGTCAGGTGTGAT